AACAAGTAAAAGTTGAACGTCAAGTTCCTTTGGGATTATTGCAACCATTCTCAATTCCTCAGTGAAATGGGAAAATATTACGATGGATTTCGTAAGAGGGTTGCCCTTATCGCTGAGCAAAAAGGATTTGATTTGGGTAATTGTGGATCGCCTTACAAAGACTACGCAATTCATTACTGTGTAAACGGATTTCTCTATGGAAAAGCATGCTGAATTGTATATCAAAGAGATAGTACGACTTCATGGTATTCCAATTTAAATAGTTTCTGATAGAGATCCTAGATTCACTTAGAGATTTTGGAATTCTTTGCAAGGAGCTTTGTGTACCAGATTGAATTTTAGCATTGCTTTTCATCCTCAAACCGATGGTCAATCTGAGCGAACAATTTAGATTTTGAAAGATATGTTGAGAGCGTGTGTGATTGATTTTGCTGAATCGTGGGAAAAGTATTTTCCACTTGTGGAATTTGCCTAAAATAACAGCTATCAATCCAACATCAAGATGGTACCGTATGAAGTATTATATGGAAGAAAGTGCAGGATGCCACTCAATTGGTATGAATTAAGGGATCAGGAAGTTCATGGTCCAGACTTAATTAAAGAAGTGGAAGAAAATGTTCAAGTGATTCAACACATTTGAAAGTGGCATCAGGCAGACAAAAGTCATATGCCGATTTGAAATGAAAAGAAATTGAATTTCAAGTAGGTGATAAGGTATTCCTAAAAGTATCACCTTGGAAGAAAGTACTCCACTTTGGGCGTAAAGGAAAACTGAGTCCCAATTTCATTGGACCTTATGAAGTTCTGAAGAGGGTTAGACCAGTGGCATATCAGTTAGCGTTGCCACCAGAGATGGAAAAGATCCACAATGTTATTGGTGGAAATTCTGTGTAGGGCTGATAATAATTTTGGAATTATGGAGAGGGCAATATGGTCTTTTCATGATAAAGGATAATTATCTCCTTTATTTAGGGGATAAACACGTGTTATTGGAGATATCTGGAATCCTTTCTTTCTCTCTTCTTCTTCTTGCTGTGAACCCCTCCATTCAAAGGTAAGTTTTGTAAAAATTTGTTGGTTCTTCAAATTTTTGGGTTGGTAATGAAAGCTTGGGTGTTATATAAGCTTAAGGAAAGCTTATATAGGATTAAAACAACAAGAGGAGTAGATTAGAAATGAATTTATAAAATGGGTGTTAAGATGAATTTTTGTTATATTGTAGTTTTTGGAGTTTTATTTGGATATTTGACTTGTTAATGATCAATTTAAGAAGATAGGAGTAATAGAAATGATTAAGAACATGTTTGAAATATTGGTATGATTTTGAGATTTAAGTGTTTAGACAAGATTTTGGATGATTAAGAGTAGTAAATGAAGACAAGTTGGTTTGGAAGTATAAGGGTGAGCTTAAAGGCTTAAAGTGTGATTAATATAAGAGATTTAGGAGGATTTTGGTTGATTTTCGAATGTAAAATAACCATTCTTGGCATAGATTATCGGTACTGTTAGAACAATACCGATACTTCAAGGGTTAAATATGTGGTTTTCTAAGGGTAGTATCGATATCGGTTGAAGAAGGCATCGATACTGAGTTGGTAGTATCGATACAATGGGTATGGCATCGATACCATTTTCAAGATTCAATTCCATAACCTTGGAATGGTATCTGTACCGTTAAGAGGTATCGATACCCCTGAAAAAAAGTATCGATATTGTAGTGGTAGTACCGATACTTCTAGGCATGAATTGAAAAATTAGTGTTTTTTCATCATAAGTTATTATGATTAGATATAGGTTATTCGAAGTACGATATTGATTTTCGATTTTGTTGTGTAGTTGTTAAACATAATCAACTTCTGGTCATCTCGACATTATAAGTACCGATCCAAAAGTGTTAAGGAATTCACTTAGGACTTCAGTGAGGCAAAGGTGAGTGCAACTCTCGGTGTTGTAATAAAATTTAGGAAGGCTTGCGGTAAGGCAACCTCAGTGTTTTCGATCGAAAACTTTACAATTTCTTTTATGTTATATTGTAATGTTTTATTCAATTTATATTACATAAGCTATGTTTTATGATTATATGATTATGGAAATGTGACCTTTGAACAAGTGTATCTGAAAAGACTTTATATGAAAGCAACTATGTGAATAAGAGACACTTTGAATATTGATTGAAAATAATTATGTGATTAATAGCCCAAGGTATATATATGAGGATTAGAGGTATAGTTGGCATGCCAAGAGTCGAGGTTTTATGTGGTCCTTCGGGACAATTATGTGGTCATTCGAGACAAATATGTGGCACTTCGGAGCAAACCTATGTGGCACTTCGGTGTAAAACTATGTGGTCCTTCAGGACAATTATGTGGCACTTCGGTGCAAATTACGAGCTATGGTGACAGCATTAGTGCACAACCTCAAAGTACTCAAATAACTAGAGTTCTCAGTAGTATACATTGGGCATTTGGAACAAAGCTAAGCAAAGTGAATAATATACATATGTATACATTTTTTATATGGAAAATAAATTTGAATTATTTTATAAATGTTTCGATAAAAACCAATAAAGATTTCGTTTATTATGTTAGCACTATTAGTATTTGCCTCACTAAGTCGTCGACTTAGGGTGTGATTTCCTCACGTGTAGGTTTGAAGAAGGCTGAAGGCTGATTTGTTGAGGATAACATACCACTTGAAGATCAGATCAAGACAAATTAAATGTAGGTTTTTGTTACTTTTGTAAACTGTTGACATGTATTATACATTTAGTTTGAAATGCTATGATCTATTTTGTAAACTCATATATTTTGTATTTATGTAAATTATCAAATTTTTATGTAAGTATGAAGGAGAAATAATTATCTTATTTAAATTAAGGTTTTCTATTTTTTTTATCTTAAACAGAAAATTTAATGTGTTCTTAATTGTTAATTACATATGTTTTGAAAAAGTCAATATGACACATCGGATTCATATCCGGGTCGGGTACGAGTTAGGGGTGTTACAGTGGTGACATTGCTCCTTCATGGTGAGGAGATCTAGTCACGATTGACAATAATCGATCCACTACCCTTCGATAATGAGATAAATCTTTGAAGATCTTGTTCAAAAGGTTAAATGCTATGATTTCATGTGCTTCATATGTCGTATGTCTTAATGATAATTTAATTTAATCCTGATATGAGATGTGTGAATGTTCAATGTAACTTGGTGCCATCAGATTCTGAAAAATGAGATCTTATCGACTTTGGTGAACCACTCTTGATTAAGGTATGTGGAATTTTCCTTGCATCACGATCTGGGTCTTGATTGCAGTCACCTTTCTAATCCCTTCTTGCCAAAAATTGCCCTTAATTTGTCTTCTTTGATCTAGTCAAAGAAACAATTCATCTTGCTTAATTGTATTTGGACAAAAGGTTGACTTTTTCTTGAAATAAATGAACTATATGAAATTATATTTGGTGCACCCATTATCAGGATTTCTTTTGTTCTTTTTGCCTGGGCGAGTGAAGCCATATTGAGATCGCTTCCCTTTTGACTGATTTCTTTTATTTGGGTAAAATCCTTTTTAACACTCTGATCAATCATGTTGAGCTAGAAAGTTGTTCTATTCACATGTGCTTCCTGGTGAACATTTGTTTTAAAGTTCTCATACTCCTAAATTTTATCAGAGTAAAACATAATAATCATTTTTTATATATAATATCATATTAATCAAAATTTTATATGTATGATGCTTATGTAAAAAGGTAATAAAATGCACTCGATTGGTCTCATTAATGAGTAGTGAAAAGGTACAATCTTTTGAATGTGTATTTCTTTTAATGAAAAGGCAAACATTATGAAAAGAATAAAGACTGAGTACCCCTGAGATCAAGTGCAAGAGTCTTTCTATCTTTTTACACATGTCTCTTCTGAAAGTTAATAATTGTGTAGAGGATTTAGATCGTATTAAAGATGTTGAGTATGAGAACCTCTCCCTTAATTGTCATGCTTCCGAGGGAATCCACCATTCATGAGCCTAATCCTGAATATTCGAGTCATCCTTTGTATATTTTCAACTCGAATCCTCCTTTGGTTTCAAGATGCCTACTTTGGGTTTTCACCTTGAACCCTCATTTTTCTTTTCTTCTGTTTTATTTTTTTTCTTCTATTTAAGTGTAGCATCGCTTTACTGAATTAGATATCAAAGGATTAGGCAATTCATCTCCATCCATTTCAGTCAAAATCAAAGCTCCTCAAAAAGGCCTTTTTTTATAATATAACGACCTTCCCAATTTGGCATCCATTTCCCTCGAAAATATTTTTGCATAGGTAAGATCTTTTTTAACACCAGAACTCCTTCATGAAATTCTCAAGGTCTGGCCTTCTTGTCTTGAGCTCGTATCATCCTTTTTTGATACATTTGTCCATGACAGATAACTCTTAATATTTTTTCCTCAATTAAGTTCAACTGATCGAATATGTTCTGAACCCAATCAACATATTCTAGCTTCAGCTCCATCATTACTCTCAGAAAAGGGATTTTCACCTCAACTGGTAAAACTATCTCTATCCCATAGACAAATGAGAATTGTGTTACCCCATTCGACGTACGAAAAAATGTGCAATAATTTTTTGTGCCAATCCCTATATATTTCAGTCATTTTGGTAACGATCTTTTTAATATTTTTATTTGATGCTTCTATTACCCCATTCATCTTTGGGTGATAAGGAGCTAAATTATTATGCTTGATCTTGAATTTTGTGAATACTTCTTTTATTAGGTCATTGTTTAATTTCAAGGCATTATCTGTGATAATTCTCTCTATTGTTTCATATCTATAAATAATTCCCTTCTTTAGGAATCGGCAAACAACCCCTTTTGTGATACTGGTATAGATTCTCGTTTTGTCCGAATTAAAATATATATTATATTGATTATTATTATTATTATATTATTCTTATTAATACTAATAATTTACAATTACATATTTTGTAGCTCAAGCCCACTACAACAAAAGCAATCTCGGAGCCCAATGCGAATCCAATAAAAATCTAACAACCCCATAATAATTACAAGTAAATCAGTTTAAGCATAGGAGTTGTTCCTATCCATGTGTATGAGCGGCAGCCAATCACTCCAACATCTCAAGCTATCGCCAACATCTCAAGCTATCGCTGCTGTTGGAGCCAATCTACACAAAGTCATCAGCAATGCACCGAATCAAGGAAAAATTAATTAGCCACCGAAAATCTCATCAAAGTCAATACTTGCTCAACCAAATATTACCAAACGCAAAGAAAATCAACATGCAGACAAAGGATTTGGTAGAGATTGAAAGCTAAAGGGGGACAATCTCTTTGTTTTTAAAGGGGGAGAGCCATCACGAGAGGGGGGAATAAAAAAAAACAGCAGGGAAGAGAGGAACCAGAGGCCAATTTTTTGTGTTCTTAAATTGTTATTTACACAACAGAGCAACAAGGTCAAAGAGTGTAATAAAAGAATCCGGCCTTCATTTCCGAAAAACAGTAGAAGCAATACAAGAGGTTTTTTTATATTTATTTCTTTTCGATTATCATGTTTTTGTTATTTCCTGTGTTATTTTTTTGATATGTTGTTTATAAATGAATAATAAAATGAGTTAAAGACATTACCTTAGTCATTTAGGGCTCTTCACTTGTAGTAGAGAGGTTGAAACTTTAGAGTTAAAGCTGGGCATCCTTCATCACCGAAAACTCATCCTTCACAATAATCACAATCTAAGTAAGAAAACAACCTTCATTCGAATTAGCATAGCAAAAATAATAATAAAAAAACCATATCCATAGCCAATCGAAAATAAGAGATAAAGAAGTCATTTTTGTAAAACCTTGAACCCAACGATTCGATCAAATAAGGAACCAAGAAATCGAGGGTTTTCGATTAAAAGAGGGTTTTCGATTTCAAAAATAAAAAATGAAAAAAAAAATCAAAACGTCTTACCTCACCTTAAAAAAAGCCCTTCGTTTTCTTCATTAAAGGGAGTCTTGACGATCGGAGGTTGCGGTTTAAAGTCTTATAGTTAAAATAATGGTATTGGGGTCTTTTGTGTTCTAAATCAGGGATCAAAATGATGGTGGCCATGGTGTTTTAGGTTAGTAATCGAAGAAGGGAAAGAAAGAAAACGGACTGAGCGGCTGTGTGGGTAACGTACTGGCGTGAGGATAGCTTTAATTTACTTCAGGTTATATATTAAAAAGCTTAGGTAAAATTATAGTTTAGGGTCACTAGTTTATTTTTAATTTACATGTTTAATTTCACATTTATTTAAATTTAGTCATCATTTTAGATATATATATATATATATATATATTTATAGTTTTACACATTATGTTTTTTTTTTGTATTTAAGTCACACTTACGCATTACATGTTAATATATATATATATATAGTTTATAGTTTATAATTACAAAGTACATGTAAATAATTTTTGTATTAAGATGGTATATTGTTTGGTTTTTTTATTTATTAAGTAGATAATCATTTTTTAATTAATATTTGCATGTTAGCCTCATGTGTATGATTCATCCTAATTAAATAATTGGATTAAGGATAATATCATTTTAATTTAAAATTGTTTAAATGACTTCTCTTAACTCACTAGAGAGTCGTTTTAAATGATTTTAAATTAAAAGTGTACCCATCAGTGACACCCAAAATTTTGATTCATCACTTTAAAATTTGAGAGTGAAAGAAAAATAAATGTTTGGCTATTTAAATTTGTTCAGAAAAGGTCGTTAGAACTCACCTAAAGATCTGGTCTCAATATTTTTAAATAATCAAATATTCTTTATCTTTCTAATGGCTTGGTAATTTTAATTTAATTATTTTGGTGCTGTTGAATGTTATATATTTTTATTGTTTTAAGGGATCATAAATCAAATTAAAGTCGAACTTGTAAATTTCATTGCAAAGACATTAATTAATCGATTAGGTTCCGATTTAGGGCGTTGTGGGGGTGTTAATCATTCCTCACGCGTAACCGAATCCCGAACTCATTTTATGGTAATGCAGACCTCAATTTGTTGTTTTAATTAAAATTAATTTTTATTTAAAATGACAAAAATGTTTTTTGGGTGTCCAATCACTCCCTAATCAAAGATTGATGGCGACTCCCGAATCGTATATTTTTTTTAAGGAATTTCCAAATTTTTGAAACGAGGTTTTCTAAAATCGCATTTACTTTTTTAATTAAAATCAATCAATTAAGCGGAAAATTAAAAAATGATGCGGTTTTCAAAATCTCATCCCTGAAATTAAGCGAAAAATTAAAAATGATATGGTTTTCAAAATCTCACACCTTTAAGAAAAAATCGTTTCGACAGCTTGGCGACTCCACTGGGGACTTTTTTTAGAGAGTCAGGCCGATAGTCGATTAATTAATTGTCTTTGCAAATGAAAGTTATAAGTTCGTTCTAATTTGGTTTTTTATCCCTTATTTGTTTTGAATTTCTTGTTTGCATTTTAACTTGTGATTTGGTTAACAAATAAATAGTTGTACTAACGTGTGATTTACATATTTCAGTTTTCTGACCTTCACTTAAACTTGTTGTTTTTCTTGGATCGAGGCAAAAGATTATGAGTTTCCTCTCACTGTCGCTATAACCATTCGGTATTTAGAGCCTTCTAACTGTGCTCTATCCCGTTAAGTAGGGGTGAACGCTACGCTTACGTGAGAAAAATTACTTTTCTCAAGTAACACCTGGGGTACATGCCTTATGTTTACGAGTGAAACATTGAGTTTCCTCACATGAACATAGGGAAAGGTATCCTCTCGAATTGAACTTGACCCGTTTAAGCATATAATGGGTGAGGGTCGAGGGTCTGGCAAGCCCAAGGGGGCACCATCAAAGGACAATTCGAGGACCCTTTTAGTGATACCTAAACTCTTCCCGTCTTATGCTGAATCTCTGTCCGCAGACATAAAGGGGAAACCCATTCTAACCTTTTCCTTGAATTTATTTTTGCAAGAAGTATGAGAACAAAGCATGCGACTAGGTTTTATACGAAGCCTGTGAACTAGAAAAAATATGGTTAGGATTTTTTTGGGTAGATGCCATGTGGATAAGGTTTAGGGTGTATATAAGGTTTAGGGTGTATATATTTTCTATCTTTACTTATTATATTGTTTTATTATTCGATTATTCATTGTATATACTAACATTGTTTTATTTTTGTTCGTGTTTCTGTGTTTTATTTATTATTACTGCATTGCATTATCATTCATGGATAAAGGCGTTGATTCGCGAAGTGGTCATCAAAGTAGAAGGCGGTCAAAAAATGGACAAAAGCTTTCATAACAAGGAAATAGAGAATGCAGAAGTGAGGTCGTGGTCCGAGGAAACTCAGAGGAAGAAAGGCGACAGTCTGACTGAAGACTATATATCGGTACTACCAGAGGTTGCTCCGGTCAGTCTAAAGAAAAACGATCTGCAAGAGTTACGTGAAATTTGGGAGAGTTGGAATTCTGATGAGAAGTACTCTTTCTAGCAAAAATATGGTGATATAGCCCTTTTGTTGTATGTGAAAGTAAACGAGCCCCTGATCAAAGCTCTTATCCAGTTTTGGAATCCAGCGTATAGTTGTTTCACTTTCAACAAGGAAGACGTGACTCCCACGTTAGAAGAATACACCTCCTTGTTTCATTTCGAGACGGTACACTTGGACCGAATCTACTCAAAGGCCACAAGAACGCAATCCTTCAAGAGCAAACTTGTGAAGATTACTGGAATGGGAGAGAAGTGGGTCACTGACTGAATCCAAAAGAAAGGATAGTCTGATTGCTTCCCTTGGCCGTGCCTTAAAGAACTTATTGTCAAGCATAGGGATATTGAGAAGAGCATGAAGATGTTCGCTTTAGGAATTTACGGTTTGGTGATTTTCCTAAAAGTTCTTTGTTATGTGGAAGCCGATGTAGTTGATTTATTCGAGCTTTTGGAAAGGAAGATAAATCCTGTTCCTGCGGTTTTGGCCGAGACATTCAGGGCGCTTAGCAGTTGCAAAAGAGCTGAGAGTAGCCGCTTCATCGGGTGTGTCCAGTTGCTTACTGTTTGGATTCGTAGTCACTTCTGAAAGATTAATCGAGAGTACAACCGCCGATTTTCTACTGCCTATTCACCCTTAAAAGATTTCCTCACCAAAGAATGGCCAGAGCATCACACTAGGAAAGATTGGGTTTCACTCTTTAGAAATCTACAAGAGCATGATATAGTATGGCGCGTCCCTTGGTTAGCTTTTGTTGACGTGTTGTACAAATGCGGGGATTCCGATTAGGTAACCCTATTAGGGTTATAGAGCAGAGTAGGTTATGCTCCACTAATGGTGCTAAGACAATTTGGGGCACGCCAATTCGTTCGAGTTACATCCGGCCTAAAGACATCCGAATTTGTGTACTACAGAGATCACTACAAGAAAACTGCTTGTGCGATGTCAGATGCATGAAAGTCAACCTTTAGAACCGATTTGGTATCAGCCGAGGTCATGTGGACACCAGATTATATGGCATGGAGAGCTGTACGGAAGAATGATGTTATTCCTTTGGCAGATCGTGATCAAATAATTCCTTTGGGATCACAGTTCAGATACGTACCATCTAAGTTGGAGATACTGCAAAGTGAATTCGAAGTAGAAATTACAAGAAATGAGGAAGAGTGTGAGGCTCTTAGAAAAGAAAATTTCATGTTGGATGTCGATAGGGGGTTCTATAATAAACAATTTGAGCTTATACGTAAGAGAAAAGATGAAGTCGAGGCCAATTTCACTAGCTTGCAGAGCGATTACCAAAGGATGAACCGAGCTCGGGAAATTACTGGGCTCGGAAAGACTACGAAACAATGGAGGTTAGAGCTCAGGGGTGAAACGGATCATCGAGTTAGAGACGTAAGAGCCGAAAGAGAACGTCGAGTCAGAGAATTAGAGGCAGAGAAGAAGAAGAAAGATCAAGAACTCGAGTCGGAGAAGAAGTCTTGGGCTAGGACACTGAATAACGAAAGGAAAGAAGCTAAAGAGTTAAGACAAAGGCACACTTTGAGCAAGAAACGAGAAGAGAAGCTCACTTTGGAAATACGAAGGTTGCAAGCTAATATTGAAGAACTCAAAGTTGAAGATCAGAGCCGATTAAATGAGATAGAGGAGGGAAAATGCATGATAGAACAGTTAGAAATTGAGAAAGATAATATGTTAAAAGAGTTCAGAATAGAGGCAAATAACATGCATCTTGAACTTGAGATTAGAAGACAAAGAATAGACGAGCTCGAAGCTGAAAAGAGGCAAAGCAAGGAGGAGCTGAAATTGGAAAGACAACATCGAGAGAGAGTGATCTAAGGCAAACAAGATGAAGTATTCCTCTGGATACAAAGATACAGAGCAAAAAATGAGCGAATAGAGATACTCAATCAAAAGATGCAATAAATGGAAGCAAGGAATGAGGAGGAGTTAACTCGAGCTAAGGTAAAGAATGAAGAATATAGTGCCTACATTCTGCAGCTCGAAAGTTCCTTACTTACAGAAAATAGCCAGCGCTGGCCAACAATCTAAGGGTTAGCCTCGAGGAGAAAGTTACTTTGCAAAAAAAGATTCATGATTTAGAGGTTGCCTTACGAAGCTTCCAGACACAAATCGCTGGTCTTGAGCGCACCGTCCAAGGTACCAGGCAGCAATGGCAGAACTCAAACGATCACTTTGGAGACTGGAAGACAAATGTGAATCATGTAATCCGTGAAACCATGAATCAATTGAGCGATATTGCGAGGCAGTTAGGAAAGATGGACATCCAAGCAAAATTCATCCAGAGCTATACAAATCCAACATTAGATGTGGGAAAGAGGGTCGATTGGCTTGTCAATGAGATAATGGAGCTGAGCATTAGAGCTAGGCCTTTTCTGTAATGGATTTTCTCTTGTAAAGATGATGTTTTTTTTCCTAAATGAAAGTTGTTCTAAGACTGATCACGTCCTATGAATCAATGCCTTTCCGCATGCATTCGTATTTAATTCACAATTTAAGTTTTGTGTTTTGTATTTTTGTTCATACTTTTATCATTTTATTTCCACATAGTTTACATTCATCCTCAAAACATTAAAATTAACAATAAGGGATACATTACAGAATACTAGGAAATTCCAAGCATCACTATAATAC